AAACTTCACCATAACTTCACAGAAGCGATCGCGGTATCGAAAATTTAGCAATAGTAAAGTAATTAAGTTTCACTCTAACCGAACGTAATTAAATCTTATTCGCAGTCGCGCGTATTTCATATCGCGAAAAAAATCAATGATCGCGTATTAATTACGTTCGCGGGAGCATAAATATTTAATCAAAGTTTGCGGCAGGGACGAACAATGCCAAAAGGCTTGGCGAGAAAACACGCAATTTCTGAACTAAATTACGAACTCTCTGTATATTTCGTTTTAATTGTGATTAATGACATTTCCAAAGGAACCAGTTTTGGGGCGAAAACGCCTGAGTTATGGATTGTATTATATATGAATACGTATACAATGGTGGCGGCGGGGACGCCCTCCATAAAACGTTTACTTACATTACACGAGATGAATTTTGAATTTACAACGAAACTGTAATAAATTTACGTAACTTTGGCCATAGAAACGTGCGCGGTAACGTGCCCCATTTTTGTTTCTTTGTAAATTTTGACAAAAGCTTTTCATTTCTAACACATCTCTCGGACGGCCACTATAAATATTATTTATCAACGCGGAGTGTTCGGACAAATGTGATAAATGGTGTCATTATGTAATAAATGTGAAATATTGCTTTCCAAAAGAGGGGTCAGCAGAGCGAAATTGGAAGAGCTTTAAAGGTATACATACCTACGCGTACTCCTAAATTCGCAATAAATCTTTTCGACCGGCGAAAATATCTTGAGGGTATATATTTATTGAAATTAAACTGCGACAGTAGACGTGCGGAGGAAATTGTATAAATATTTAAAGAGCGTGCAACTTTCATTTTTCCCTCGATTTTTCCTGATTCCCAAAACATACACTCTGGAAAATTTACAATTCGAAACTTGCCGTCGGGACCGCCATCTTGCCAAGATGGCCGCCAAAAGCGACTTTCCGCAGATATCTCCAAAACTGTGCATTTTTCGAGAAAATATGCGGTGCGCAAAATTAAAGAGAAGAAAATATCCCACAAAAAATATCGTCAGCATATTTTCAATAAAGTTAGCTCTTAAAGCAATAATAATTAATTAATCATATAATTAATTAATCAAATTGATATATCTATGATCAATTAATTTTAAGATTTTAGTCTTCACCATCTTCTATGGTGATGGACATGTCAATTTTCAAATTTGATTATTTAAATTAATCACTTATATTGTTGTATTCAATCCCTTTAATCCCTATGGCTATATCACCACTTACCACTTAGTTTTAGTTACGTTCGTTAGGCGGCACCACCTCACAGTCGCTTGAAAGGAAAATTTCTTTTTTCCATTAATAATAATAAAATACTGTCTTGAAGTTATTGTTTTATACACTAAAATCTCTCAAATAAATTACTATAGCATGGGATGTTCATGGTCTCGGTAAATAACGTAAATTTACAAGTTTAGAGCTTACAAATGACAATAAGTATACAACATTTACAGATAATTCTATCAAAGCATTTGTCCGTTATTTGCAAAATCCCATTGTCCTCTTAAGTACAGTGTCACCGGTTCTTTGCATACAGGGTGTTTATTTAAACACTTCCCACCACGGATTTACCGCAAATCACTCATTAAAGGAAAAAACGTCGAGACACGTCAAAAGATTGGTCAAGGAGCCACTTTTTAACGAAAAACTACTTCACCTCCTTTCTCCCTCTGCTTCTCGCTCTGCTTCCCACAGTCATTCCCTTAACAGTTTTAAATGACAAATGGTATCTAGTAATAGTTTGTTTGAAAAGGCTTTCGAAGTCCTTTATTTTAACGTTTAAAAATCGGTCGATTCGTCCACTCTTTCGGCTAGTGTGTAAACCATTTCGGAAGTAAAATCTGAATCAATAAATTAATTTTCACTATCCCAAGATCGTCACAAAGGTAACCGACAGTAATTGTTTCTTTCCCATAGCAACAAATACGTGATATTTTCGTTTGTTTTGTTTTCCATCTGAACAAATTAAGATAGCTTGATTAAATAATTTAAATAAAGGTTTTTCAAATGTTCTCGAAAACGAATCGACCGATTTTAAAAACATAAAAACGTCAACATAAAGGACTTCGAAAGACCTTTCAAACTTTCAAATTTTTCGATAAAACTTGTCATTTAAAATTTTTAAAGGAATTACCCTGTGGTGGCAGAGGGTGAAAGGGGGTTAAATAGTCTTTGGTTAAAAAGTTGTCCCCGTTGACAAATCTTTGGGCGTGTCTCGGTGTTTTTTGCTTTAATCAGTGGGGGGGGGGGGGTTTTCAAATGAACACCCTGTATTTTGATCAAGATTTTGATGTTCAACCCTGTAAACCACCGGAAAAAAACCGTTCGGTTTGGATTCCAGTTTCAAGCTCTTAAATCAGTATTGTTCTTTAATCAATTTTAATATCAATATGAAAATATGAGTTTTTTTCAAAACTTAACTTTTCCGTAACATCTGTTGCAACCCAGCCCGTTCCTTTTATTGTACTTACTTCTGATGCATCGCTTCGCCTTTTATTAAGCGAAGTACCTAATCGATGTAGCAATTAACTACATGGATGTTTAATTTGCTTTACCGTTAAAATTGTTTAATGTTTAATATAATTGATCGTTTTACGTTTATTAAAAGGTGCCACTGTGAAATTTCCGTACAATCGGTCTAGAAATAAGAAATTTAATACGCGATTTATACACGATGTCCATTTTTCGAGTGCCACTATAAGGTTCTCGCTTAAGAGATAAACAGTTGGTAATATGGCAAAGTTGCGAATTTTTGTGCTGAATAATAATCTGAAAAGAAATTCAAAATATCTTTAGTAGTTTTGAAAATATCGCAAAAAAACGACAATTTCTGTTTTTCGTTATTTTTTCATTGGTAAACTAATCGTACTAGACATTTCTAATTAGACATTTTAACGGCGATTTTGAATATGGCATCCCGTTTTTAATAACTTTTAAGATGACATAGAAACACATAGCAACTTTAGTTTTTCTTATGGGCGCCATTTTGAATATCAATATTTTCAGATTACGTTTCTTCTTCTCTTTACAACGATATATCACACATGGTGGTTCAGTATTTCCTAAAAACATAATTTTTAATTTTTTGGGAAGAGTGCTTTGGAAAAACAAAACGTTCTTTTATTGTAAACAAAAGTTTGACAGTTTGATCCATTTGCCTGGTTTCAGCGTTGGCAGAGAACTAGTTGTGTTGAGAAAATTCGATTTTTCTCTGAATAGGAACCTTCGTTTTGCAAATTATAATTCAAATTAGAACAAAATACATAAGAATAAATAATATTTTCGCAGTAGAATTAGCATAAACGTAAATGGCACTACCTACTTGAAATAAGTCAATCAGTCAACCTTTGGTCACAACAAAAGAACGTTTTGTTTTTGCAAAGCACTCTTCGCAGAATATGAAAATTGTAATTTTAGAAAAAATGTGATACTGAACCACTATGTGTGATGTATCGTTGTAAACAGAAAAAAAGACGTAATCTCAAAATGTCAAAATTCAAAACGGCGCCTATAAGAAAAATTAAAATTGCCACGTGGTTCTCCGTCGTCTTAAAATAATTAAAAACGGAATGCCATTTTCGAAATCTCCATTAAAACGTGTCTGAATACTGTGTTAATTAGAAATATCTAGTACGATTAGTTTACCATGAAATAATTAAAAACGAAAATTTCTTTTCACATTATTATTCAGCACGAAAATTCGCAACTTTGCCCCCATTTAACCAAATTTCTATCTCTTAAGATAAGCGAGATTCTCATAGTGGCACTCGAAAAATTAACACCGTGTATATTACTTTAAACCACAGTAGGCTATGAAACAAAAGCTGATCTAGAAACGAAACTGTGTTGACGTTATAGCTGGAAACATTGTACAGACAAAGAGTCTGGCCACAAAAAAGTAAATGAAAAATTATAGAAACTTGAGAACGAAATTAAAGATTGTTTCATAGCCTACTGTGACTTAAAGTAATAAAGTTTAAAAAATCGCATCGAAAATCAATATCATTCATGGTGTGCACATACTCATATGTAAAGAATGAAGTATAATCAATGATTTAAGGTAAAAAGTATAAAGGAAAAATTTGTGCTTACAAACAAACAGACAAAGGGAAAACGAATGAAATATATGGCGCTCCATTAAGTTAATGTTGGGGGGGCTAAAATCGTGAAGTTGACCCCCCCCCCCCAATTTGTTTTTTCAATATCTTTTTTAGGGAAATGTGCACACGAAAAATCGAAGTGCAATAAATGTGCAAACGAAGGAAGTACATGACGTTTCATCATTTTCAAGTTGGGGAGGGGGGGGGGCTAACTTCACGCGGGTAGTAGCTACAAAAGTGTACAAGGTTTGCGGAATAGACTTTTTAGAAGGGTCTGTAGGTGTTATATGAACCTAAAAATACAGGGTGTCCAACGGGAGGTTCCTCGCGTTAAATTTGGCCGAATTTGATTTAAGGACTCAGCTCGGTGCTCGAAGGTGTAGTAAAAATTATCGAAGCCGATGGCGTAATTTTGACTTTCTTTAACAAACGGAACCATCGCACAATGGATGTGCGTTACCGTTTTATTCGAATGGATTACGAAACATATCGCGTTCGACCATCCAACCGAGCCTGGTTCCTTAAAACTTTCAGCAATTTAAAATTTGCTTTCACACCTCAGCGACCAAAACACATTAATTTGGCTTAGTTCCTTATGAGTAAATCGCTACAGGTTTGGATGGCACTAATTGCATGTAATCACTTTCGATTTAAACGCGCGCCTCTTTCAAACGGAACGAGGCAATTTTGAACACATCGGTTATTCGGAACAATGCGCGCGAAGATTCGGTGTATTCATCGGAAAAATTACCGAAAGTATTACAATCCGCGCATTACAAAAGATTATGTAAATAATTGCCGTATATCCGTGCCAAACATACAATTTGTAAATCTCATTTTAATATCTCCTAACCTAGTTTCGTTTTGTTACAGGCATGCAAGCGGAGGAGTAGCGTCACTCCACTCCCTCCCCCTTCGTATTTGTTTTCGGATAAAACGTCGCATATCAATGCTTATGTCAAGTTGACATAATAAATATCACTACTGTGATAAACGTTATCATTATGGCATAGAATCGTAGCGTAACCGTACGAAAGATAAATCCCATTTATTCACCGAAGAGATTTTACGTTGTTGGGAAGCGCGTTTTTCCGCGTGTGTGTAAAAAATGGGCGTGCTCTCGCGTAGACGTTCCTTATTAATAAAATTAATAGTTGTAGTGTCGACCGCGTGGTTTACGATAGCGTTCCTGCTGTACTCGGAGGATCGGTCGCGTCCCGCTCTCGCCCTCTCGTTGCAGAACGGCCTGGTCAACCGGGAGGCGCGCGAACTGCCGGAGGACAACGCGATAGATCCGGTTAATCCGTTTAAAAATGACGCTAACGACGTGGAGGAGGAGGAAAAGGGAAATCTGCCGCCGCCGAAGAAGGAGGAGGATAATGGTGTCCTGTTACCGCCGCAGAGCTTGGCCGGGGAGATGGGTAAACCGGTCGTGTTGCCGACCAATCTTAGCGGTAAGTAGGTCATTTGAATTACTCTCCGTTTCCAACTCCCTTGATGAGGGGCGGATAAACTTTGGACCCTTTTGATCACAGTTTTGAGTCATGATTCATGATGCATTAGGAGATCTTCATCCCTTGGTAATAGTGTGGGCCTGAATTTAGGTTTAAGTACATTGCATTCTTCCTCTCTGGAAGTACTGGATTGAGATTCAGAGGTGGGAAAATTGGGATCATCCAAACTGTATCTATCGAACAATGGAAAGAGACTACCAAGGAACCAGGAGGTGTAGAATCTTATACCTGGCACTGCCTTTACAAGGTAGCCTCAGTGTCAATCCGTATAACTCATTGCCGCATTGCCAAAGACCCCATTTAGATGTAGCCTTTGTTTTGGACTCTCGTACAAACCATATCATGAATAGTTTCTAATTATCCATAATTATATACAATTATTCATTGAACAAGCTATTACGAAACAAAGTCCGAGTCTAAATACTCGGGTACGAATAATTGACAATGCTTGTGAATTCCTTAATCGATACGTGACATGTATTTAGCGCTTTGAAGAAGACTAAAGTATTCAGTTACAATTTAACGACTTTAAACAATTACGAATAAATTAACTGCTAAATTATTTACAATTACGTATTTCCTTGAAGAGGTTACCCTATGATTAGGTATATACAACAAATGATATGCAAATAATTAACATGCTATGTTTAAATACACCAGACAATGGACAGAATTAGGATAACACTAGAATCCTCAAAGAAATTACATTTAAATTCCTTCCGAATACCGAATTTAATTTACGTTCAAATGGTAAGAGGGATATTTAGAAAGTAATACGATAACGGTTTGGAAGTAAATTGATTGAAACACTCCAAATGAAGCAAATAGGAATCCTAAAAAGAACGCACAAGGTAACAGAACGCCACTTACGTATCAAACAAATCTCAATTTATATCCTCCAAAATGAGAGAAATAGTGTTCAATCTCTAACAAAGCAACTTCGAGAAATACCAAACATCCGGTTAATCTCCATAATTTATTAAAACAACTACGCTTAACAAAAGTGTTTGCAAGGAAAAGGTATTAAGAAAAATTGAACATATCCTATACAGTCCATGGCTTTAGAGGGTTGCAACTTTTCGAATGGGTCAAATATTGTTGTTTCATTGCTCGATTATGTTCAAGCGATTCACTGTAAACCCCATAAACGCAAATAGAGATTTAACCCCACGCCGATTGTGTATTACTTAATTTTTTAAGAAAAATCGACCATATCCTGTACAGTCATGTCCTTTAGAGGGTTGCATTTATTGAGGTGGGTTAAATATTGTTGTTTCATTGCTTGATTATGTTTAAGAGGTTCACTGTAAACCCTATAAACGCAAATAGAGATTTAACTCCAAGTCGATTGTGTATTACTTAATTTTTTAAGAAAAATCGACCATATCCGGTACTGTCATGTCCTTTAGAGGGTTGCATTTTTTGAGGTGGGTTAAATATTGTTGTTTCATTGCTCGATTATGTTCAAGAGATTCACTGTAAACCCCATAAACGCAAATAGAGATTTAACCCCACGCCGATTGTGTATTACTTAATTTTTTAAGAAAAATCGACCATATCCTGTACAGTCATGTCCTTTAGAGGGTTGCATTTATTGAGGTGGGTTAAATATTGTTGTTTCATTGCTTGATTATGTTTAAGAGGTTCACTGTAAACCCTATAAACGCAAATAGAGATTTAACTCCAAGTCGATTGTGTATTACTTAATTTTTTAAGAAAAATCGACCATATCCGGTACTGTCATGTCCTTTAGAGGGTTGCATTTTTTGAGGTGGGTTAAATATTGTTGTTTCATTGCTCGATTATGTTCAAGAGATTCACTTCAAACCCCATAACCGCAAATAGAGATTTAACTCCAAGCCGATTGTGTATTACTTAATTTTTTAAGAAAAATCGACCATATCCTGTACAGTCATGTCCTTTAGAGGGTTGCAATTAATGAGGTGGGTTAAAAATTGTTGTTTCATTGCTCGATTATGTTCAAGCGATTCACTGTAAACCCCATAAATGCAAATAGAGATTTAACCCCAAGCCGATTGTGTATTATTTAATTTTTTTAAAAAAATCGACCTTATCCTGTACAGTCATATCCTTTAGAGGGTTGCATTTATTAAGGTGGGTTAAATATTGTTGTTTCATTGCTCGATTATGTTTAAGAGATTCACTATAAACCCTATAAACTAATTGAAAACTACAGTGAGCCTCAAATTAAAACCTAGATACATTATACAATCAAAATGTTACGTTATACCATTAAAAAACCCGAGGAAAAATCTCTAAAAAATTGTGTCCGGTGATAATTATTGATATACCTTGTACAATTATTTATGTTTATAATAGAATTATAGCCGTTTCAATGATTTATTGCAAGTAAGGATCAGCTATGTATTTTTTTATTGAAGTAGATGGGGGTCTATTGCCTCTTATGTTAGTTTAGTTCTTCCCTTATATCCAAGAAACGGTTTTGTCTAATTTTTGATAACATCTTCTGTTTGTGAGTTTTTAAATTGTCACCCTGTATAATACCCATACTGCACAAGAGCTCAAAGATGTCGTTCTGCCACTGGTACTACACCACTAATAGGTATTGCTGATGGTACACTTCAGAAAATATATATAAATACGTAATACTAATAATTAGGAAACCCAAATTTTAGATTTCAGAAAAGGCTTCTAAAACGTTTTCTATAGACCCAAACAAGATGTTTTTAAGAAAATTTCTAAGACTCTTTTTTGTCCTGGATGATATTAGACCCATACAAGAAATGCTTAACATGTTTATGATAATTTTGTTGGGAGTTACTTTCAAATTTTCGTGTCTTGGGAAATATTCCATACATGAGAGTTCTAAGGATTGAACGTTTTGGGGGAGCATGTAACACCGGGGGGTCTGAGGGGTATCCATGCCTCCCCCCACATCACATTAGGAAAAAAATTTTTTCCCTGGGGGATATAGACCTGCCAAATTTTCACCAAAAACGTTTAGGACAGCATATTTATGATTATTTTGTCGAGGCTGACTTTCAAATTTTCGCTTGATGGGAAATATTTCATACTCGAGGCACTTGGGTAGGTGACTTGTGATTAGTGACACGAATTCAATTTTTCATTATTCAATTCCATACTTATATTTGAATTTGACCAAAAAATGGTCTTTGGCCTCCTGGAATCCTGTTTTATGACACCGATTCGGGTTTTTAGTAATTCTCCTACTACAACTTCCGGCATAATGTAATTGGAATTTTCGAAATCAGAAAAGCCCGGCGCTTAATTATTTATTTATAATAAACAACGACGAAAATGATAAACGAACGACTTTGTTTTATCTTGTGCCAACATTTTTTAAAAGATGGGTCTTTCTGGAGTTATCGTCCCTGAACGTACTAAAAAGTAGATAACTGTGTTAAACTAACAAAGTTATCAGAACGTTGGTAACCGTTTACATGGCTGTAGATCCAAGCTCAATCTGGGAACGTGTAAGGGAAAAGATTCGTTTATTAGCTTTTGCGGAGAAAATCTCATTTATCGCACTACCAAAGATTTTGATCGCCACGGTTTCCAAAAGAAAAACTATTTCGCCCATTGAGACCATTCATTTGAGTAGGTATCCACAAAGGATGCTCTGAAAGCTATCAATCTCTTAAAGGGCTTGGAACTCCAAGCCATAAGTTTTCTTTAAAAGCACAATCTTCTTATTCTTCGGAACTCTCTAGAGATCTTCTTAGAAAGGTTTTTCCAAACCTTGTTAGGCATCTTAAGAACCTTCTTCTAGACCTTTGTAGATTCGAACTAACCGTTTTCAATTCAACTAAGCTGCCGAAAAAGCACGGCAAACGAAAGTATCTGTGAATAGTGGTGGAGTTCGTGCCCTGAAGGATATGTCGTCTCGTGTGCTCCTTTTGCATTTCTTTATAGGTACTAGGGGGCCCACTGAAAACAGTCAACAACAATTTTGGCCGTTTAGTTTTGGCAGAAATGTTTGAACAAATGAATACTTCAATTTTAGTTTTGAGGGGAAAATTTAAATTAAATAATGTTACTTACATAGCTTCAACCAGGGCTTGAACCCTGAGAAAGGGGCGAATTGCACCCCAAAAATTTTAAATGGAAAGGAGTGGTAAACGTTAGATAGTTCGAAAGGAATGTTCATTCTGTTTTTTTAGCGGATTTTTGCATATTTTTTCTAAAAAGATAGCGTTTTATAAATCTTTTAAAACCTTTTTTGGGAATAAGTAAGAAACTAAAGAAAACCAAGAAACTGCTTATAATCTTCTTGGAAATTTAAAAATTCTTAAGAGTATTTGTGAAAAATGTTGTTTAAAAATCTTATTATGCAAGCACTCAACGTCAACATCCTTAAGAGAACCTCTTATAAAATTATGCTAAAATTCATACTGGAAACTGTCAAGTTCCTGATTACTTGGATTAATTTTGTGGTTTGTTCACAGCTGAAGTTAAGAAAATGGTTGACGATGGCTGGCTGAAGAACGCTTTCAACCAATACGTTAGTGATATGATCAGCGTCCATCGAAGCCTACCTGATCCTCGAGACGAGTGGTGAGTAGCTATTTTTTTTTTAACTCGTAGGCGACTGAAGTTCTGAATGAAACTAGAAAATTCCGCTTATCAGAATTTCCGAATTTAATTCGCAAGGTCATTCATTTTCGCGTTTACTCCCCCGACGTATAGTTACCGAGGTACCCAGTTTTGTAGGCTGGGTCGGCCCGGAATCGAACCCGAGTCCATGAGCTCACTAAATCGCATGCAACGCAAATGAACTTTTCATGGTGGACGAGCAAGATCATCCCTTCAAGATAACTGTGTACTTTTCAAAACTGAAATAGCAGCAGCGTAGTATCCGATCTCGTCTCGTATTAATAACAGCAATTTGCGTTGCATAAAATAACTGTTTACGCCTCTACATTTTCTACATAATCGATCGCCTCTGCAATGTAATTAGAGGATATTAAAGTGGAGAGAAATTTTAATTTCTTGCCTGGCTATCGGCAGTGTTTGTTGGGTTGCTCGTAAGTTCAATTAAAAAAACTAGAATCTGGTTTAGATTACTTTCATTTTTTGTCAATTTTGTTATAACAAATTGGTTTATTCAGGAACGTATTAAAAAATATTTCGAGCATTGTTAATCGCTGACCCATTTATTGAAAACTGTGGTACATTCAGTTGCTCGATTGAAGCATGTTCCTTTGGGATAACTCCCAAATTTGTACCATAATTCATAAGATATTGAATTAATAACAAAATCAAACTATTGGTATGAATGAGTAGTATATTTTCCCTGAATTTTACGACAATTCTCTTCATTCCTCATAAATGAGGATAATTATCCTTAGAGATTAGATTAATGGATATCTTATCACAAAAATGATACACCAATTTATGTTATCTGGAAATAATTATGTGCATTATGTTTCAAAATGGATGTGACGTAGAAATATAAATAATCGTTTTTTTAATGTCTACAGAAAATATCATGGGTGATTCAATGATTTTCCAGTGATACCTTGATACTGGGCAAATTCGGGCTTAAAAACCCTTTGATGTTTTGTAATAACCGACCCGAGACAGATCCCATTCCCCAACAGATTCGCAAATTTGAGCACACGAACGTGAAATTACGCTCCCAAAATTGTAATCTTCAATGCGTAATAGCAGATATTTTTGGCGAGTAAGCACAAAGTCGTAAAACTTAAACGCGCTTTATCATCGGAATATTTCAAAGGGGAACGGACTTAATAAATCTTCGCAGATCTGAGCAGTCGAGTGTGAGCAAATAGTATCCTTCTATGACGTTGACGCTTACCGTCGGATCATCTAATTTTCGACTGACTGTGTTTCGACTTTAAATCAAAGCAGCCATTCATTATACGATCCTAGGGTTTTGTACAGGCTGTCCATTTCAGTGATTCGAATCAATCATTTTGGTTCAGATTTGACAACCGAGGAACTACCTAGCTTCCTATATAAATAAGGTAACCAGATTTTTTATTCAAAACAGGAATAAACCGATTCATTTAGGGGTGTTGAATTTTAATTCTCATTTTTCCGTATCCTCGGGCCAAAAGTAAATACTCCGCTTACGAAAGGTTTTTTTGAAGGAAATGCGTTTATTTATAGTGCGAGTATAGCGAAAGGGGTAGGTCTCCCTGTACTTTATGCTACGAAGAAAACGAAAGTAAAAAACATATACTAATTGTCCGGAACCTCTTTCTAATCGGCGTTAAATCGCAATTTCAGCACTCATCTTAGCAGAACCACTAAATTGCCACTTAATTAATGTTTACGTTTATTATTAAGTTTGCCCCCGTGACTAAACGGCGCAACGGTCGTAAAATTCGGAAACAGCTCGACCCAGTTTCAATTTGAATCGAAACGAGTCACAAACTCGTCGAAAACGAACCCCTCGTCATTTGTACGTAGTGTGGAGATACTAAATTAAAGATGTTTTCGCTAACATTAATTTAAAACATTGAAATTGGGGCGCTATAACCCTAAATCCCAGTTCAAAACTTTGTAATAGCCGAATGAAGAGAATTGATTGGCCGCCTCCATAATTTAACGGGATTAAATATTTTCGGGGGTGGAAAACATATCGAAATTGTCTGCCTTTAAACTTGCGACAACCACAATTAATTATTCACGAGTAATATAATTTAATTAATTTCATTTTCCTTTAGAGTTGAGCTATGGGGAAAACTTCTTGAGCTGAAATTACTGTCACAGAAATGTATAGTCAACCAACAATTACAGGGAAATTGCGCGCGTTCGCCCGCCACCCCAATGTTATTTAAACACTGTGGGCTAAACTAATTAGCCGTGTAATGAGATTACATCAGTTGATGGTTTCTATATTACTCGCTCTGATTCTTCAAGGCATTCGGTCTATTCCGTTTTCTAAAGGAGAACATATTTCGCTTCTTTAATGCGAGAAATTTAATCGCGCTTATTATACGCCACATATCTGGTAACGTTCAAGATGTTGGAGTTTACGTGCGCCTTCTGCTACTTTTGAAATCTGCTAGAAATTCGTAGCGTATACAATTAGCCCACTTTGCGCGTTTTCAAAATGTGAGACGCGCTCGATATAGAAACTCTCAATTAATTTGCGGAATGTTGGCAATCACACAATGTCTTAAGAACAGTGGGTCTACTCTGGCCGTTTTTGGTGCAATTAGTCGCCCTAATTGATATCTGCATTCGCAGCTGTTTTGCTCGGCGCGGAAATCTGGATCGAGATTGAACTACTGAGGCGACTTTAAAAATAATTTTCAGCGCAACAACGAAGCGGAACCACCTTCTGCCGTTCGAACAAGGTATTGTGCAGTCACTGACAAAAGTAATGGTCGCCTAAAGGTAAACTCTGCAGCCATGGGCTCTGTCGGTGTCTTCAAGGAGGAGATACCTTAATTTATTCAAATGTTGGTTACGTATACCGCAGGATTTACCTATTCGGCGATCATTACTTTTGTCAAAGACTGTACAAGGTAGTAAGGTAGTAATTTTTCACACATCTGGAGCTAATTCACCTCGAAGAAGGCGTTTTATACCCCACTTCTGAACGAGGAGAGAACCACTCACAGAATTTTGTACACCATAATTCCATTTCGTTTCATAATTTCATTTTCGGTTCTTAATTCACTGTTTTCTAACAGCACCGCCCTTCTTTCTGACCCCTTATCAAAAGAGGTGGTGGGGTGGAGCTGGTTTTATCCTCCATGGTACTGTAATGAAAGGTCTCAACGAAAGGGATTAATTTCTACCAACTGGCGTGCCCTAACAACCAACAGATAGCCCGCATTTCCGTCACGCGCTCGGCAGAACGAAACTTTTAGGTTCGAAGAGATCGTGAGACCCGCGCTCGCTTTCCCGTTCGCGTCTTATCACCAGACATACTTTCGTTCACGTTCGCTATGAAGCGGTACGTGTGGAGATTGCCTTATATTGACCAAAAGACAAATTTAAAACCCACTTTTTTGAAAACGGCCAAGCGACTACCTGTTACATCATCTAAGCCAAGTTTGCGGTGCCCGAGATATTTTTTAGTGGCTTGAACATGGCGAGCCGTGAGGTTTAGTTCTGGCGATTCACATGCGTAAGTAGGGATGAGAAGTTCATCGTTTGTAATGATTTCTGATGGATTTTTGATTATTGTTAACATACTTTTTATACGGATGTGGAATGGTCGGGGTAATGACGCGTTGTCTAGGTAGTTTTTGGTCATTGAAATTTAAATTACGTGTTTAAAGACTAGATTTATTCAGTTAGAAATTATTTGAGTCGTATTTGTAAATGTTTATCTCATGTTTTTCTCCGGTCGTTGCGATAGGAGGTTCTGTTATCGCTGCGAAAGCTGATTATTTTCAAGATAAGGACGCGTTATTGCCGAAGCTTTTAACGCAGGTTACTAGAAGACGGTGCATTATTTTGTAAAGCAAGAGGGGAAGAATTAAATGGAAAGGAAAGGAATGTTTTAAATAAGCGAACCGGGCGTTAATCGTGACTTTTTTTGTTAAAACGTGAATGGAGTTTTTTTATATTGAAACGTAACCGTATTTGAGCGTGTCAGTTTTGTCGTTATCGAGGCTTTTTAAAAAGACAGTCAGTCTTGTTTAATTGTAAAGTTGTGTAGAGGAATGAATTTCCTTGCCGTGGTGATTGATAAAAGTGAACGTTAAGTCGAGTTAAACGGAGGTGTGTTATGAATTTTCGTAGAATCGACGAGTCCGCAGGTGTTCTCGGTTAACCCGCCCCTATGGTGTCACGGGGTGGTTTTGACGCTAGTATTTTAAATGCGCAAGGGGCGTATCCATAGTTTGACCCCCTTTGTAAGAGGTCTGCGACGATTGATGAGAAAGGTTCGGGTTTTCATAGGGAAATCTTTTTTTCTTAACCCTAGAAAAATGACAGAAGTAAAATTACATTTTATTTCCAGGTGCAAAAAGCCGGATCGCTACCTTGAAGACCTGCCGCCGACCTCGGTGATAATTTGCTTCCACAACGAGGCCTGGTCGATATTGCTTAGGACGGTACATTCCGTTTTGGATCGCTCGCCCAAGCACCTGCTGACGGAGGTGCTGCTGGTCGACGACTTCTCCGACATGAGTCACCTAAAACAACAGCTGGAGGACTATTGGGCCAAAGAGCCCAAGGTGAAAATCGTACGTGCGAAAAAGCGCGAGGGACTGATCAGGGCGAGACTGCTAGGTACGCTACGTTTCCAGTTGGTCGTCCTAATCCTGGATATTTTTCAGGTGCGAGGCATGCGTCGGGACCGGTGCTGACTTACTTGGACTCCCACTGCGAGTGCACGAATGGGTGGTTGGAGCCGCTTCTCGATCGGATCGCGCGGGACTCGACGACCGTCGTTTGTCCGGTCATCGACGTCATTGACGATACGACGCTGGAGTACCACTGGCGGGATAGTAGCGGCGTGAACGTCGGCGGTTTCGATTGGAACCTCCAGTTTAATTGGCACGCCGTGCCCGAACGGGAGAAGACCAAGCACAAGAACAGCGCCGAACCGGTTTGGAGTCCAACCATGGCCGGTGGACTGTTCAGTATTGATAAGGTAACAGGAGTCGAACCGTGGCAAAGGCGTTTGCCTAATTGTGTTTCAGGCTTTCTTCGAGAAACTGGGCACGTACGACAGCGGCTTCGACATTTGGGGCGGCGAGAACTTGGAGCTGTCGTTCAAGACGTGGATGTGCGGCGGAACGTTGGAGATCGTACCGTGCTCGCACGTCGGCCACATCTTCAGGAAGAGATCGCCGTACAAGTGGCGCAGCGGCGTCAACGTGTTACGCCGCAACTCGGTGCGATTGGCCGAGGTCTGGTTGGACGAGTACGCGAAATACTACTACCAAAGGATCGGAAACGACAAGGGCGACTTCGGCGACATTAGCGGCCGAAGGGAGCTTAGGAAAAACCTGAAGTGCAAGACCTTCAAGTGGTACCTGGACAATATTTATCCGGAGCTTTTTGTACCGGGCGACGCCGTTGCGAATGGGGAGGTAAGTTTGCTAATACGTCTCCAATGTAGCTCCACAACGGTCTGCATTACACATGTAATTCATAGTTCCGCAACTTGGGTTACGGAGGAAAGACGTGCTTGGATTCGCCCGCTCGCAAGTCCGACTTACATAAACCGGCCGGCCTTTATCCGTGCCATCGACAGGGGGGAAATCAGGTAAAGCACACGTTCTGTTATTCACGTTTCTCTACTTTTACAGGTGGCTAATGGGGACCGAGATTATTGTCTTGATTCCGCCTGCAAGCCAGAAGATATGCACAAGCCCGTTGGGCTTTGGCCTTGTCATAGTCAAGGTGGAAATCAGGTAACATCACCACCACGGGGACGTAGAGGTGTATCAAGTTTGTAACTAAAACACGCATATCAACGATTAACAATTTAGTTTCTCCCTCTAAGGCCCCGTCTTTCTTGTCTCAGTTAAAATTATCCGATAAGTTTAAATGAGACAAGAAAAATCGCTTTGTACAAATCTCAGCCAATAAACTTCTATTTCCAGTCTTAGTTTAAAACCAAGCTATGCTGAACATTAGCTTCAGCAAAAATAAGCAAATCTCATTTACTTAACGCTCTTAGTTTATTTTTATTAACTCAAGCCTTGTCCCGATTTTTATCTGGAAAACTAGCCCCTCCCTTAAACAGTCCATCCCCTTCAGTCTGTATTTAAAATGTGTGGACGCAAGCAACACACTTCCAGCATCAATAAAGTGGAACAACTGGATGTTGGTCAAACTTCTAGGCATAATTGTGCCACAGTGACAGTAGAGTGTCTAGTAAAGTGCTGTGGTGGTGGTGATTACAGAGGTGGTAGACTATGTTTCTCAAAATTAACGCCTCATTTGCGTAAATAACATGTACTATATTAAATCTGTGTGTGAACTCGCCTTTAATAGTGGCCAATCTTTGGCGGCGAGGATGGTACACTTTTTAATTTTCTTTTCTAAATGCAAGGATGCGCTATTAAATCTGCTTGCACAATCCTTTCGGTTGGTTCCCTTGCTAGTTTAATTTTTAATCTCATTTTGAAGAGAGCTGATTGTCAATGGAATCCAGGTCTGTTTATCAGAACCAAGTCGGTTAATTAAACAAATCTGATTCTGTTAAACGGACCTATTTCTCGCTTCCCCACCTTTGACCTTGAGGATCAAAAGGTCACCTTCACTCCTGAAAACCATTCTTTGTTCTTAAACTCGACTTTTTTAGGCTGAGAATAATGCCCTTTATTTCACCTTCAATTCTGTCCTCTATTTCACCTTCAATTCTATCCTCTATTTCACTTTTACTTATGGCCTCTATTTCACGGTCAAGTTTGGTCTCCACTTGACGCGTAAAATATTGATAGTTTATATGCCCCACGTGTCTCTGCTATTGGAGGTATGTTAATCTGTCGGGTTGCATGGTGGGGTAGGCTGTACGGAAAAGGTAAAAAACGGGATTTATTCTAGCGCGTCAGATATTTAGAGCATTGTATAATTTATGACACGGCCACCTACGATCTCAGTTAACTGACATGCATCAACACACTGCAGTTTATTGGCGATTTTTTACACTTTGGCGTGTGGAAATTGGCTCTTCTCACTCCCTCACGTCACCCTCAAATCGTTATGTTTCTGAAATGCACACTTTGCAACACGTAGTCAACCCACCTTACTTAATCTAGCGCGCTTGTGTAAATCCGAAATCTCCTTGATGCATGTTCAATTGAGTCATGAGAATGACCTCCTTCGGCTCTCTATTCGAATGCTTAAATTACTATATCAATTAAACTTTCAGTTTGATTTCAAACTGCAAGCGAACGGAACTTTGAGTCCCTTTAAAGTGCCTCTAATTCTATTCTTTCCACCCTACATTTCCATTCCGTTTTCCGTCGTTCTCCCTTCCCAAATCTCATCATTTTCAACTTCCCTACATTTAACTCCATTCCTTTCCTCCTATAATTTGCTTCATTTATTGTACCTCCGTCACCCGCGTATGCGAGGGAACATCGCTTTCTTCTTCCCCCTACGATCACTCCACCTTGACCCCGTAATACTTTTCCATGTCGCTTATGTAGAGGTTAAATGAGGGTGAGCTAAGTGAACATCCCTCTGTCTTAGTCCTTCTACTTTCTTGGTAGTACTTTGATATAATGTTGTTTCCTTTCCTCTAATTGTATTTTCTTCCCTCTTGTTCTCCGCCTTTTTTTCTTTACAGTTTCTGGTTTTATTTTTTGATCATCTTATTTTCCCACTCAGAGTCAATTTCCATGGGTTGATGATCCGATTCTATTCTTGGTCCTACCTGAAATTCGTCTATTAGTATTTCCTCTAGTCAAGGTCGGCGACTACAAGTAAACAAACGGAAAACGGCGGTTCCAGGCGGTTCATCAGAGTGGACCTACAGGAATCGAACGAGTTCGGCAAATGGCGGCGGTCACTTCGGAAGAACTAAAACAAAATTACGCGCGGACGGCTCATACGGCAAATTCCCTAGCGGGAATGAAAGCAACAAAACACTAATTAATTAGCTGTGTTTAAAATCTCTATTAATTAAGCGCGCTTCTAATCCTTACTGCAACTCATTAAATTAGCTACTGTTATTATACTCACTTGGGCGAGATGAAATATCTAAATTCATACTATATATTTGCCCTCGTCTTGTAAATGACAAGAGCTTTCAAACGCAACAAAGATAATTGAAACATCCTGACGGGAACGGTTGCAAACGGCAAATTAATTAATTACAGCGTTTGTTAGAACTTAAATTACCGTCTGTTTTCAACAACTCTTAAAACCAACACAGATACTTTCGGCGCGACACTTTTCGTAACGAATCGGCTCCAAATACCGGGTGTTCAGGTACAGGGTGGTCATGAAACTATGTAAACTTCAAACCGGAAAAGAGGTGCGCAAGTCGATAACCCGCACAACGTTGGGAAATTTCGTTTCTCGTATGGATGCAGATGATTTGAGCAGTCTTTTGTACTGGAAAGTACTATGTTATCCCCCCCCATATGCAAGTAACTTAATAGCGCATCCTCGAGAGCAGAGAGAAATTTGAAAAGTTCACCCCTGCGACAAACTCGTAAAAAATTAATCGCCAATGTCATTCCAGTACTGGATGTACAGCAAAACGGGCGAGGTGCGTCGCGACGAGGCGTGCCTGGACTACAGCGGCCAAGAGGTGATCCTCTACCCCTGCCACGGCTCGAAGGGCAACCAATATTGGGACTACAACGAGGACACGAAACTAATTAGGCACGGTAGTAGTGACAAGTGTCTGGCGATTAACGAGCCCAAGACGAAACTAGTGATGGAGCAGTGTAATAGTGAGCTGACGCGTCAGCGATGGACCTTAGAACATTACGATCGCAGTAAACGTAGTAACTAGATCCGCCGATGTGCTTTAAATAAGTGTACAATGGAACTAACTTCATGTGATAGTGCTATTTTGAGTTTTAAATTATCCTTTTTTGGGATGTGCTCAATTTATACATTCCGTTAATTTTCGTACTTGAAGGATGAAGCGCAATTTTTTATATACAACAATTATTTTAATTTATAATAATGTACTTAATTATTGTTATTGTTATCATTCCTTTTGTTTTACAATTAACTCAAACTGGGGACACTCGACGATCTGAAATTTTTTGTTGTAGCTGAACTGTGATAAAGTTTTTTTTGTCTTGACTACCTTAAAACTATTAGAGAGTGATCTCCAGTTTCAGTTGATGCGTTTTCGTTTAACTGACGGTTTATATCACCCAATGTAAACCAGGCCAGTTTGTCTCTTTGGTAAAACAGCTTTACTACAACTGTACTGCATACGTACTCGATCAAGGTTGGTAAAATACGTTTTTTACATATCGTCAGGCATATCGTTCCGTTAAAAAAATTTTTACGCAACTTTTACAAATGAAATCACATGTCGTTTTGAAAAAGTATGATATTATCCTTGATTTTCTCAACATGTGGGTATAGTTTACTCTTATTTTAATTGTATATACGGTAGGTACTTAAACGTCTTGTACTTTCTTTAAAATAAGAATCAGCTTATTTTTGTAGTCCCAAGTCGTCGAACTTTTTATTATTTGCTCAAGAGTATTATAAATAATTAGCGTGTGATTATTTAAATTATTAACGTAGGGTCAGAACTTTTAAGATAAATTATAGATTCCCCGCATGCCATTTTATACTGTTTTATAAGTTGTGGGCGATATTGGTAGAGAAGATGTACAGAAACTGAAAGTGTCGGCTTTTTATAAGTATAATTTATCATTTTTTTGTAAATCTCACAGCTATGAAATTGTTGGTAATTTGAGAGTATATTATAGTCATTGTGTTTTGCATGAATGGTGTAATTAATAGGCCAGTTAAAGATGTATTAAAATGTGCCTTAAACTATCTTGTATCAACATATACATACTGGTTAATAAAGATTGTGTTTATGATACCTAAATGATTAAATGATAATGTTCCAGGTGTCTATACTGCTCTGTTCATTGGGATGCGGTCACTACATCTGTCCAGCGATAATTTATTAATCTCTCCCCGTACTCATCCGACCTCTGCTATAAGAAAAATCCCAATGTTGGCTTAATCTCGACCAACTTCCGAAAATTCCAAATAATTAACAGCACAAATTTTCATTAACACCCTTTGGACATGAAACGAAAAATCTGACATGAAAACTCTGTCTGGGCAGATCTGCAGTATTCGATTCTGTAAAAACTTTTTCTAATTAATTTTGGTCCGTAGAATCCAAAACAATTCGTACTTTTTCGATCACACTTCTCAAAAAAAAGTTATAGACTAGAAACCAATTTCGAAACAAAATTCAAAGGGGTGTAACTTTTGATCTAGTAGCCCAATCTTGGAACTGTTTGAAATTATGGATTCTACAGGCCACATTCTATAAGAAAATTTTTTTTTCCGGGTCGATCTGAGACAATTTTTTTTCGGGCCTCAAAAAAAGGCAGGGTTTAACCTTCTTTTTTTACCAAAAATCGACTGCACCAAAATTTCTCGGGAAAACACTTTTTCTAATTAATTTTGGTCCGTAGAATCCAAAACAATTCGTACTTTTTCGATCAGACTTCTCAATCAAAAGTTATAGACTAGAAACCAATTTCGAAAGAAAATTCAAAGGGCTGTAATTTTTGATCTAGTAGCCCAATCTTGGAACTGTTTGAAATTATGGATTCTACAGGCCACATTCTATAAGAAAATTTTTTTTGCGGGTCGATCTGAGACAATTTTTTTTTCGGGGCTCAAAAAAAGGCAGTGTATAACCTTCCTTTTTTACCAAAAATTGACTGCACCAAAATTTCTCGGGAAAACACTTTTTCTTATTAATTTGGGTGCGTAGAATCCAAATCAATTCGTACTTTTTCGATCAGACTTCTCAATCAAAAGTTATAGACAAGAAAAAAATTCAAAGGGCTGTAACTTTTGAACTAGTAGCCCAATCTTGGAACTGTTTGAAATTATGGATTCTACAGGCCACATTCTATAAGAAAATGTTTTTTCCGGGTCGATCTGAGACAATTTTTTTTTCGGGGCTCAAAAAAAGGCAGTGTATAACCTTCCTTTTTTACCAAAAATCGACTGCACCAAAATTTCTCGGGAAAACACTTTTTCTTATTAATTTTGGTGCGTAGAATCCAAAACAATTCGTACTTTTTCGATCACACTTCTCAATCAAAAGTTATAGACTAGAAACCAATTTCGAAAGAAAATTCAAAGGGCTGTAACTTTTGAACTAGTAGCCCAATCTTGAACTGTTTGACATTGTGGATTCTACAGGCCACATTCTATAAGAACATTTTTTTTTCCGGTCGATCTGAGACAATTTTCATTTTTCATTTTGCATTATTTTTACAACCCCCTTGGTTTTTGAGATACTCGTTGGAATTGAAAATTGTAATTTTTTAGAATCTTTAGACCCCGTTCATACCTGCAGCGCTTATCAAAAAAGTTAAAACGCAATCTTTCCCTATAGAATCTCTTTTTGTGTTTCAGTCAGGATCGATCTACAGGGTGCTATAATTTCACGATTTTTAAAGTTTTCTTACTACCGTGCGAGTGGTAAAAAAGTCTTTGAATATTTTACCGTACTCGGCATTCCCCCTCTCAGCCTTTGTGTCTAAGTTGTCATGCTGTGAAAATAAATGCATTATTATTATTATTAAGTATTATTATTACGCATAGTAAATAGTTACTTTTTGTTAGAAGTAACTATAATGTAACTAGATACTTTTTGCGAGTATCTTTTACAGGTCTGAGTATAGGTAATGTGGCAAAGTGGATATCTGATCAATGTTTAACAACGTCTATTACATAATCGCACCAAACATAAAAGAGATCTTTAATATGCTTTCTTGTAGAAATTTAAATATTCAAACAAGGAAGCGCAAAGTCGCTGCTTACACTGTCGCTTTACATCTCAAGTACGAGCTTGCTTATTAGTGCGTACACAATATCCTACATTCCTCGTATTTTGAGGAAGTACATTATCCACCTATGCTTACTTTCGATTATGCAGAGCAATTTTACGTGTCAAGTGAAATGAACCATTAAGGAGTTATAAAATGGAAATGAGAACATTTTCGGTTAAGTACCTACCGGACTTTCGGTTTCGATAGCACACACAAATTTTAGTACGCTTTAATTAATTATTTTCTGAAGATTGATTACATATCAATATTCAATAACTCAATTAATGCGTTGATTAATAACATTAACATTTATTGGTTTTTATTTATGTAGAGCATTTTACCGTGAGCGTTAACCTTCTCCTTTTCACCTTTTGCTAACTTGCTAATGTAGGTACTAGAGTTTTTGTTTTATTTTGTTCACTCGATTATCCTGTTCAGAAACTTTTTCGGATAATTTCCGCAGGTTTTGTATATTTATGAATACAATAACGAAAATTAAAATAATGATAATTAATCTGAAAAGGTAAACACCAGCCAAAGCACAAACTGAATACAATGATGAAAAGAACATTCTAGACCAAAATTAAGATGGATCTACAATAGTTACTACCAAATGAAACGGTCTTAGAAGAGATAATAATAATAACATGACACGTGATGACATACACAGAAGAAAGATAGAGTCCTTAGTCACATTACTGAACATTTTGCAGTTGTATATACTTACGTAAAACTTAAATGGCGGTACAATGCGAAATAAACGCTAGCAGGAATGAAGAAACGGATCATGAAAAGAACAAAATCCAAGTAAAAAGTAACAAAGAAGAGATAAAGTTCCTTTCTCAAATGTGAGGAATCCAAAAAACGAAATGAGGAAAAGAAGAAAAGGCTGAAAAATAATAATAATACCACCCTTATTTATAATAAAATAGGATGTAAAATAAATAAACCTACAATGTAGAGGCGAAGTTCAGGAGAGCTGCTCTTCCCCTTAACCTCTAGGATTATATAAAGTGTAAATCAGCGTACTTCGGACTAAACGCCATCTGTTAAAAACTGGATGGCAAGTATAGGTATACCACGGTATGAGGGAAGCTTAAAAAAATAGCTTCTTTTTTAATTAATATAATCTAGGATTTTTCAAGCTGCTTTTGGAACCGAAACATTGACATTTTTTTCTTGAAGGATGACAAGGTAGAGCTTCTGTGTTTCGGTATTGTATTTCTGGGGAGTCATTTTTTTACCTTAATGCAGATGTCCAGTCCCTTCGGGCGACCAAAGAAAAGATCGATAAGGTACATTATCTGTTGATGACTATGTAATTGCATTGCTTTCATTACAGTACGATGCAGATACGTGAAAGACAAGGATGTGATTTGGTATAATTTGAACAAGATTATTAAGAAAGTTATCCCTCGGGGTTGTTTTACTGTAGGTATACAGAATACGTAAGTATAAGTATATTTTTGATCTTATGATTTTTAATGCATTATTTATGGAAAGGTATTCCTCATGGTGTCGTAATTACCTTAACTAAGCTTAAGCAAACATCAAGTGGTAAATTTAAATACGTTGACTAGAATCTCGATTACACAAGATAATAGTAATCAGCGGCCCACGACGATAACAAATCTACTGTTTTGAATTTCACAAGACCCGGGGCCACAAATCACAAGATACCAAGAACTATATGATAACGCCAAATTAAACAAACCACATCATTTTTTTTTTGTATAGAGGAAGTACCTCTGATATAACTATACCTGAATACTGGTTACCTGTTTTGTATTAAATATGTTGGAAATAAAGCACATTATAATAGATACTGATCCTGGTATTGACGACTTACACGCAATTTTAATGTTTTTGGCGGCCGAGAAGAGAAACGAGGTTAAAATTGTCGCAATTACGGTTACAGCAGGTAATACAGATGTAAATAATGGATGCAGAAATGTCGTGAGTCTTTTGGAAAAAGCGTGTCGAACTGATGTAAGTATAACCGCAACATATGCTCAAGTGAAAATCTTATTTATTAGATCCCCGTATATAAAGGAGCCTCTAAGAACTTGATATCCGAAGATTGCGATTTTCTTCAGTATTATGGTCGAGATGGTCTTGGGAACACTGGGTATGCTAACAATGCAAACTTGGACATACTACGGGATGAGCCATCCTCGTTGGCAATCAGACGCTTAGTGAAAGAAAATCGAGGACTGATAACTCTTGTTTGTTTAGGACCTCTGACAAACATAGCCCTTGCCGCCAAAACTGACGATGACTTTTACATGAACCTGAAGGAAATCTTTATCATGGGTGGCACTATTAGAGGTGAGTTGGTTTATTGACAAGTATGAAGAATCCATTCTTGTAGGGAAGGGAAATGTAACTTTAATGGCCGAGTTTAATTTTTACTTTGACCCAGAATCAGTGTACAGTTTTTTACACACTGTAACATGCCCAACGACAATTTTGCCGTTTGAACCAGTCTTAGAAGTTGCACTGCCTGCGGTAAGCACTACCTACCAATATTTGTACATGCTTACTATAGTAAATGCTTATTATAGACTTGGCGCTTTGAGGTTTTGCCCAATCTTACTCCAGAGATGAAATTTCTTACTGCCGCCGAGAAAAGCTTTTACAAATTTAAAAACGGAGGCGGAGGTAAAGATGTGTGGACTTCTGCAGACGGATGTCTGGCTTTAATAGTGCTGCATCCTGAGGCAGTCCTTCGCAGTTGTGAATACCATATGAGCATTGAACTGCATGGTAAAAGAACTCGAGGACAGTGTATATTAGACCACACCAAAGAGCGGAAATCAAATGTTACTGTTGTCGAAGAAATTTCGCAGGAGCTCTTGGTGAATGCGTTAATAGAAACTCACTCGCGCAGTTGAGCACATATATCTTTATTGCTAAACATTTAAGTATTAAGATCACCTTGTAAATAATAAACCCATTTAATGTGAGAAACACGTTCCTCTCTAGGATAAATCGTCAGCTTTCCGGCGATTGAATACTTGCGATCGACCAAGATCTCCAAATTCTCTAAGGGCGCCAAATTAATGGCGATCTTGGTCTCACACCTTCCATACACAGTTTGCGAGTCATTTTTCAGGCTGAATATGGCCGGTTCGACTACGAAACGGAAATCGGTCGAGTCTAGAAAAGGATTTTTAAACGTGACCGACGTAGAGCCGCCGGGAATGATGAAGTAGGGTCCCTGAGGCTTGGGCGGTTCGCACGTTCCGGTTAGTGTGAACCTGTAATTGGTCCATTTAAGTGGATGCGCTAATATTTTGGAGTGTTTACGCGTAGGATCCCGTTGCGGGCGAATGTAAAGTTAGAACCGATTTGAGAGTACCGATTTCGTACGGTTCAAAGCGTACCAGGAATTCCTTAGTAGTATGGGGAGAAACTGTTATGTTGCCTTCTATGAAAAATGCTGTGGGTTCGGTGAACTGCAAAGAAAAGGATAAGGTCGGCGAGAGCTGGTGTTGGGGTTACCTGGGCCGCCAGAGTTGTGGTAGCTTTTGCAGTGTTCGTCACGGAAGCTCTTTGAGTTGCGGTTTGTCCAAGCCTCGCGATAAAGAATAGCTGCTGATCAGGAACAGGTGGACGCGTTATTAACTTGAAATCGTATGGGTAGATTCCAAGATCACTCGAAATGAGGTCAATGTGCGCCTCTGACTCACCTTCCGTTAAAGGCAGAAATGTGATGACGAATTTACTCTAAAAGTTATCTCATCAATGGCTCCAGAAGTATAGCTTTGTACCTCTGATAAGGCAGGGACTGTCTGTGGGCTGACGAAACTCAGCTCAGGAACCGTACTTTTAGCCGTGTATGTAACAGGGCGTGAAAGTGGATTTTCAAGAGTAATGGAGTAGGTAAGAGATTTCCGAACACAAGTATTGAGTGTTATAACGTCCAAGGGAGGGCTTTTCAAAACTTTTAATATGACCTCATAGTACAGATACTCTTTTGTTTCCTTGTTCCTGAACATAACCTAGAGAAGAATTCCGTTATAAGACAACGTGGCCAGTGAAAGTATTTACCTTCAAATGTAATGTCCCTTCTTTTAACACATAGATCGACCATGTGTACGGCCTCTCACTCTGACCCAATACTTCAATGCTGGGATTGCCTTCCAACTTGTACAAAATGGGACTTGGGCTCGAATTTTCGGTTATAACCTCAAATGATTGCGGACGTTTTTGCCAATTTTTAACAATTAATGTTTCTTTATACAACGTCTTGCACGTAATTTCTCTTTGTATTCTGTCAACTACCAGCGGAGGCGTGGTTCGTCCACTTAATTCGTATAGTACTCCTAGTCCTTCGGGATAAGCGAAGAAAATGGTCGCCTGGAAAAAATAAAATCATTCTGATGATGGCTTTTAGCAGAGGGGATGTGAAAAGCGTCTTCGTCGAAACCAGTTATCTGGAATCTCGATGCCTTCGTCAGTTTAATGTAAGCACAGTTTATCTATGATATTTTGGCTCAAAAAACGAATTCATCTCTTATCCAAAGATCGAATATTCTGCTCTTTCGAGACCCAGGCGTACATGAGTAAACCGCTCGTACAACCCTTCTAAATACTTCCTTTCAGTGCAAAAATCTCCCATTAACAATCGCATTTTTTTTTTCATTTACTTCACCGCTCCCCCCATAACTCTCTTACTTCCGCAAAAATTTGCACTTTCTGGTATACTCGTATACAGTGTGTCCCAAATCGGGTGGGATTGCATGGGTAACTTTGTTATTATTAAAGATAGAGAATTGGTTAAATGGGCAATGTTTTGCAGTTTTGGATGCTTATTTAACATTTCCTTATGGAAATTCAAAATGTCGCATAGGTTCGACGTAAATTCAAAAAAACTAAAATTGGTCATTTCCTTGAATGTCTTATATCATCGAAAGTATAAGAGATATAAAAAAAAAGTTTTATATAAAAGTGACTGTCTTTGATACGCTTAACTTAGAATTGATGTCAAAAAAAATTCAAGACGGCCACTTTTGAGGAACATTTACCAACTTCCTAAAGTTAAATGGGCGCCATATTAGATTTTTAGATTACTTGATAGATTTTTAAATTCTCTTTACAACGAGCTATTATAAAATAAGATTGAAAATAAGATACCAGTTATATTAACGGTTTTTGTATTTTAATCAAGTAGTCAAGACAGTTTAGTTTAGGCAACGTGTTGCCATTGATGATTATTATTATTATTGTAGTGGTAGCTACTTCCACTTTACTTTTATTTTTTAATTAAGTAGGTACTTACTTTTATAATTTAATGTACTGTACATAATTCGTGAATTGTGACCTGAGCAGCCAGTTTGTTGGTGGGTAGCATAAACTAACCCTTCCTTCGAAACATACGTTGTCGAGAAAAATCCTTTAAGGAAGTTTATTGGAGAATTTGTAAATAATAGTGAGCAGTTAAAGATCCATCGAAGAATACCGGTCCAATTACATGACTTCCCATTATGCCATAAAATACATTAATTTAAAAAAATATTACTTGATTTCGGCGTGAAACTACAACATGTAGGTTTTCCTGTAACGAGTAGTGTTCATAATGTCGATTTGAACACTTCGCAGTTAGAAAAATAAGATTCATCTGTCCATATACTCGGACTGGTAAAACTGTTAGTTTCGATATTCTTGCGGATAAACCACCTACAAAATGTGACTTGGGACAATGCATCAATAATACATTGTGTAAAATAAAGCGAAGTGTCTTGAAATGTCTTTAACTGGATAATGGCATGACTTTTTTCGAGGGGATAGTTTGTAGTAATACCACCATTTGTAGGTATGTAAGTATGGGTAATAAGTCAATAAGTGATGTTATAAAAATCAAATTTTTCTAGACCTAATGCTTATATAAAATTTTGGAGGGAGTTGTAATGCCCAAACCCCCCCTCTCATGAGTGCGTCCCTGATTTTTTAAACATCTGATGTAATTATTTTCATTGTTTTGTTGCCTCGAATAGATTTTGTTTTGTTTTTTTTTAATTCATCACAGCCTACTTAATTAAAATATAAAAACCGTTGATATACTCGGAATTTTACAGTCTTGTAATGACGTCATTTTTGTCTATCCTTGTTTAACTAATGTAAAATGACAATGACAAAAAATTTTGCCGAAATGTTGTTGTCGTGGCTAAATTTTACCTGAAATGCTTGTCAAATGATTGTCAGTTTTGAAGTTTTGAAAACGCCAAAGCGTCAAAACATGCCGCCAAAAAACCCTCATCGATTTAACGAACAAACACAGTTAATAATTCTAAATGTGTTGGCTTTCTTTCAAATTGAACAGGAACAAGTTCGGAATGGCATACGCATACCACTAGACATCAACAATGTTATACAGCGAACTGCACAAGCAACGAAAGTCAGCCCAACAACCATTTCAAATTTGAGAAAAAATGGTGTAAAATCCGACAAAGATTACGCATCTAATGTCTCTACCAAGCAAAAGATTAACAAGACGAAAATCACAGAATATTTGAAGAATAAAATTCGGGATACAATATATAATATGTACTCCCAAAAGGAATATGTTACACTGGCAACTATTAGACAAAAATTTCTGGAGCAAAACGAATATTTTCAATTTTCCATTGATTCATTGAGAAAGTGGATCAAAAGTATGGGTTTTAAATGGAAGAAGTCCAATAACAGAAAATATCTTATGGATTTACCGGATATTGTCCACAAACAAATAAAATTTTTAAGGGAGTACATTGAAAACAAAAATTTGGGACATGAGGGTTATACTCCGGTTTTTATGGATGAAACCTGGATATTTAGTAAGGGATCATTTCGAAACAGCTGGCGAGATGATACTAAGCACACGGAATCAATTAAACCCAATGAAGGTAAAATAAGATATTATAATACCTTTTCAATATTATTAAAAGAGATATTCTTTAGGTCATCGATACATTATTGTCCACGCTGGGACGAACGATGGCTTTATTGGTGGGGCAAGTTTGATTTTTAAAAGTGGAAAAAAAGCAGGGGACTATCATGATAATATGAACAGGGGTAATTTTGAAAATTGGTTCAAGACTCAACTGGTGCCAAATCTTCCTGATGAAAAATCTTTAATTATTATGGACAACGCAAGCTACCATTCTGGCCTTTTAGAGAAAATTCCCACCAAATCATGGACAAAACAAAGAATGATAGAATGGTTAGGGGAAAACAATATCGGCTATCCAGAAAAGGCAATGAAGGATCAAATATGGAGCATTGTCAGCGCAAACTGCCCCAAAGAGAAAAAGTACTACCTTGATGAATATGTTAAACCTTTAGGACATAAAATTTTACGGTTACCGCCATACCACTGCCAATTTAATGCGATTGAAATGGTGTGGTCTCAGTGTAAACGAAAATACGATCAGTACATTGCAAATTTTAAGGGATCAACACAAGAGGTTTTGGCAACATGGGAAAGGGTTATCGGGGAGATTTCTAGGGATAATTGGGAGAAATACGTAAACCATACGGACAAAGTAATACAAGAGGCTTGGGGAGCAGTACAAGTTTGTGATGCTTCTGACATCCCACCTTTTGTTATCACTACAGACGCAGATGACGACCTTACTGACGACGAATACTTTGATTTTGACTCTGACGATACGGACGAGGGCGACTAATTTTCTTCTAATACTGTGACCATTACAATTGCAATAAATTGGCATTGGTATATTTTTGTTTTACGATTTTGATTTTCCAACTATTCATCAAGGTAGTGCAATTTTTTCTTGTGTAGATGTGGTTTCGATAGTGGTTCTTTGAATTTTTATGTACTCCTCTGCTAATTATTTTTTGGGTCTTTTCGGGAGTATTGTTTCCTAAATAATATTCTGTGATTTTCGTTTTGTTAATCTTTATTTATTTAAAAACAAAAATATGTTAATATTACTTATATGTTAGTTGAGCAAGTTATTAAAATAATTAGTGAGTAAATGACCTTTTTTGAAATACTAACATTTTATCCATCGCGGTTTCGCTCGCAAAAAAATATGAACTATTCGCATTTTTTAACATGTTAAAAATTTATTTTCGATATCTTCAGTCGTTTAGGCTGTGCGTTGATATCTCAGTCAGTCAGTCAGTTAATTAGGACTTCTTCTTTTATTAAGACCTATTTAGATTTCTTGTGGAAATTGACTTAATTATTATCAAAAAATGCTAAAATATTATGTACACCACTGTATAGTAAAAGTCATACAGGTAATTAGACACCAGTAGTCAGTTACTTAGCAACAAATAAATTTAATAGGACATACGTTTTTTCCCACGAAAATGACGTCATTACACGACTGTACAATTCCGAGTTTATAACTGGTATCTTATTTTCAATCTTATGTTTTGATGGCTCGTTGAAAAGAGAATTAAAAAATCTATCAAGTAATCTAAAAATCCCATATGGCGCCTATTTAACTTTAGGAAGTTGGTAAATGTTCCTCAAAAGTAGCCATCTTGAATTTTTTTGACATCAATTCTAAATTAAACGTATCAAAGACAGTAACTTTTATATAAAACTTTTTGTTATATCTCTTACACTTTCGATGATATAAGACATTCAAGGAAATGACCAATTTTAGTTTTTTTGAATTTACGTCGAACCTATGCGACATTTTGAATTTCCAAAAGGAAATTTTTAATAAGCATCTAAAACTGCAAAACATTGCCCATTTAACCAATTCTCTATCCTTAATAATAACAAAGTTACCCATGCAATCCCACCCGATCTGGGACACACTGTATATTAATAAAATTGTGTTGTAAAATTTAAGATCGCGTATGGTAAGTTCGGCTCAAAAAATTCATCCCGGAATATTCATCACCAAGAAACCTAGACGCTTTTAAGGACCACTGACTCGGAAATTTCGACACCGAAAGATTCGCTCCCCTAATAATCGATCATGAAAAACTCGCCCCCGCCAGAGTGTCTTGTTATACGGAATTCACTCGCAATGATTGGTCTTCGGAAAACTCCCCTTGAAGGAATATCTATACGTATATACTTAATTCTAAAGTGCTTACAATAAGAATAGACTTGAATTTTATATTCCAAACTGGAGGTTAGTCTTCTTGGGGGCAAATTTACTGTACAAATGTTGCAACAGAAATAAAATAGAACTTTGGAATAGCATTTATTCAATGGCGAGTTTGTTAAACTCCAATCTTCAGGTCGGGCTTTTCCGATCGTACATTCTTCATTGATGAGGTATAGGTATTTGCGGGCGAATTTCCCTTGAGGGAAATCCTCCGAGAGCAAGCATTCCGGAGGCGATATTACGAGGACGAATTTTCCCCGGAAAATTATTGGAGACAAATTTACCGTGATCAATGGGGTGCTTTCGAGTATATGAGACTTGCTTCAAGGGTGACTTCTATTTAGTCTCGAGCACTTCGGGTTGAGCTTTTGTAAACTTTATATGTGCTATATTGATTATTTATAGTGGGGATTGGGATGAAATGGGATGTTGGAGTTATATTTGAATGACACAGGAATTCTATACTCTCGACAATAACTTACCCGATGTGGTTTTTTCCCAGTCATGGTTAAGGGAGAGTATGAAACCTCACATGGCAATACTGACTTTGGTTTTACTACGTAAACATTTTTGGATATAAAGTATTGACCTTCTATTGTTGTTGCTACTCTCCAAGTTTGAGCAGAGCTTAAATGGTTTTATCGTTACAGTGCAAATCTTTAGAAAAGCCTTACGGATTTTCGATGTTAATAAAACGCTTAGTCGAGCTACGGACAGGGCACTCAAACTCTATTCGTTCAACAGCGGGTGGCATTCCTATGCACGATCCCGACAATTGCATCTCTAAGGATTTCTTGTATCCACCGATAATGCATTTGATCTGAAACCACGCGTACACTTTCTATAATCATTCATTTATCCTTATACTTTTGCCTCGAATACGCTTCCCAAAGTTGATGGCTTAAACTGTACGGTAAAAACTGCACTGGTACCAGGCGAAACGAAACCATGTTCGGGAGTGATTGTAAAGCAAGGGTGATACTTCTCAAATGTCCATTTGAAACTGCAAATCAACTAAAATCACCCGTTCTGCCTGAACGATTTAAGCTTACGCCCCACCAACGTCCCCTACATTATTTAACATGGCCTTCTGCTTATTGCTGTAGCCCAATATAACACAACCGAACGGAATGATGCTCTTGTCCAGCGTATAGTCGGGACCAACACAAGAGCCTTTAAACGTGCACAAAGTTTCAACAATATCCTGGACTTGATAGGCGATTTTTCCCGAAAACGCTTTCATACGTTCGGTTGGTGTGTAAGTGGAAATAAACTGGGTAGTCTGATGAGGTGGGACCCTGGTAAATTTCTTCGGCACAATGGTCACAAGCTGACCGTCTTTCTTGCTGCAATAATATTTTGGGTATTATTGGAATTATCGTTACTTTTCGCTGTACCCTAGTCGAGGACTTTGTTTTGATTTACTCGACGATATACTACCGGGCTCATATTGAGGTTCAAGCCTTTTTCTTGGCCTCGAAAAAATCGGCAAGCAATCGGGTAGATCGAAAATAATGTCGATGTACGCGTCACTATTGTTTAGAACGGAAACGGCTCTCTTACTCGATCCACCCACCGCCACCTCGCCAAAGTTTAGAAACTTATCACTGAAATTCGCGAGAAGCACAGAATTGGCGACACCCTCGCCGCGAAAACAGAGCTCGTGTGGTCTTGAGTTAACGTAAAATGTAACGTAGATCGTGTAGGTTTGCACTTTGAAGGGGTGAAAGTGAACTTCGATCGGCTCAGTTTGTCTTCCTTGAACTTGTTTCGATTTAAACTTGACCGTTAAGAAGTCCACCTCAGGTTGCTTGCATTCCAACC